TGTTTTAATAAATTGTTACATTATCACATTGATCTGTTAGCAAATCCTCTCGGCTCTGCCTTCAATTATGTTAAGAATAATACGACCTCCACTGCTACCATGCTAACCAAATCCAGCCAGTATTCTTGCAGTTACTTCCTAGTTGGTCTCCCTGCTTACCTTGCCCGCGGCCCCCACGGCATAATTTCAACATAGACATCAAAGTGACCCTCTTAAAATGTGAGTCAGTTTATATCACTGCTCTTAAAACCTTCCAACGTCTAGATAAAAGCCAAAATCCTTACAATGCCTGCAGGTCTCGCATGATCTATCCTCCCATAACCTCTGACCTGCTCTCCTGCTTTCCTCCCACCGCTCTGCTCCAGCCACATTGAGTCTTTTTGGCTATTCCTTGAACATCCTGAACACACACTAGTAACATTCCTTTCCTCTGTCTGAAACACTTTCCTTCCTCTTTCACATCTTTTAGTTCTTTACTCAAATGTCACCTTGCTGTGGCCTTTCTAAAATTGTAAGTCACCCCCACACACATGTTTAAATGATCTGTTATTTATTTACCCCCAGGATCGGGCAGGCAGCATTGTCTTGAAGGTGCTCATCTCATTTAAAGCTAATGATATTGAAAAGGCAGTTCAATCTCTGGACAAGAATGGTGTGGATCTCCTAATGAAGTATATTTATAAAGGCTTTGAGAGCCCCTCTGACAATAGCAGTGCTATGTTATTGCAATGGCATGAAAAGGTAAGTTATGAATTATAAATCTATATAATTGGTTCCTTTATAATAGAGAATAACAATGACAACCTCTCTCACCTAAATAACCATTGTGACTTGGTTATACATCTATCTTTATTATTGCAAATAACATCCATGAAAATGATAGTTCAGATTTATGCTTACTAGCCTTGGTCTTCAGAGATTCTGATTTATAACACTTATGTTCATTCAGTAATGATTATTCATTAAACATAACCTTGAATTTTGAATTAAGGTAAAACTTTGCAAAAGAAAATAAGCCATAAAAATCAAGAATTCTTTCACAGTGACCAAAAGGTGGAAACAACCTAGGATTCATGAACAGATGAGCAGATAAAATGTGGTACATTCATTCATACCATGGAATATTATTCAGCCATAAAAAGGAGTGTGTGTATTCTGGTACATGCTCCAACACGGATGAACCTTGAAAACATTATACCAAGCAAAATAAGCCTAACACAAGAGTACAAATATTTTGTAATTTCACTTACATGAAGTAATCTAGAATAGGCAAATTCAAAGGAACAGAAAATCATTAGAGGTTACCAGGGACTAGGGAAAGCAGGGAATAGGGAGTTATTGCTTAATGGGTATAGAGTTTCTGTTTAGGGTGGTGAAACAATTTTGGAAGCAGTGGTGACGGCTGCACAACATTGTGAATATAATGCCACTGGATTTTATACTTAAAGGTGGCTAAAATGGCACATTTTATGTTATATATTTTACCACAATTTAAAAAAGAAATCTTGGGGGAAGGGATTGAGAATTCTTAAATCCTTTTTTCTATTTTTATGCATATATTTTGCAAGTAAGCAGATGCTAGTACGTCGTCCATCAAAAAGGGGGGAAGAGGGCCGGGCGTGGTGGCTCACACCTGTAATCCTAGCACTCTGGGAGGCCGAGGCGGGTGGATTGTTTGAGCTCAGGAGTTCGAAACCAGCCTGAGCAAGAGCAAGACCCCATCTCTACTAAAAATAGAAAGAAATTAATTGGACAACTAAAAATATACGGAAAAAATTAGCCGGGCATGGTGGCGCATGCCTGTAGTCCCAGCTACTCGGGAGGCTGAGGCAGGAGGATCACTTGAGCCCAGGAGTTTGAGGTTGCTGTGAGCTAGGCTGACGCCACGGCACTCACTCTAGCCCGGGCAAAGGAGTGAGACTCTGTCTCAAAAAAAAAAAGGGGGGGGGGATGGAGAGGAAGAGGTAGCAGGGATTTTGAGCTTTGAATAACAAGTTGATGGGGTCACCTTTAATACCTAACTCTTAAACTGGTGCAAATATCAACAATAACATTTAAACAGAACCAACCACAGATAAAGGGTATATTCTATAACATCTTACAATTCCCAAAACTCAGTTTTTCAGAAACTGTAGAATGTCTGTTTTAAGTGTATCTGAGTGAAAACCCACACACATAAGATAAAAATAGATAGTAAAACTTGTTTAGCCTTGGTCAAGTCACTTTATCCCTCATATACTGTCAAAAAGAGCTAACATTTAAGGGTGGAGTAACCATTCCTCACAGTTTTCCCAAGATAGCCCCAGTTTATGTCTGTTGTCTTGTCATAACTTTTGAATAATCCCCCCTTTCCCTCTGAAAGGTACCAATTTGGACAGTAATTTATATGGTCATCCTATTCATGGACCACTCCGTTTCCCAGGCACTGTAGTATCAGTTTATGTTTCACTTAATCCTTACAACCCTACAAAGTATATAAACATCTTTATCAGATGAAGCGCCAGCTTTAAAACTCAAACAGCTTAGTTCCAGTGGAGTCTGCGGATCATAGTAAACATTGATCGAACACTTGCTATGTTCCAAACACTCTTCTAAGGACTTTATAAATATTAACTCATATAATTGTCATTAAAATCCTAGGAGGAAAAACTTGCTGTTATTCCTCTTTTGTAAATGGGGAAACTGAGGCAGGTGTTAAGTTTTCATTTCTTCCTAATATCAGTTACAAGTTTTTGCGAATCTTATCCCCTAGGTACTTCTGAAATCCACCCGTTCGAATACTTCTCTGCTGCATCTGTTCGCAGCATCTCTCCTAGTCTGTTGCTATAGTTTCCTGACTGGTTTCCTAGCTACCAGTTTTGCCTCCTCCAAATCTGTTCTCTACCCAGCCATCAGAATGATCTCTTTAAAATCCAAATCTGCCCTTGCCAGTCGCTTGCATGTTAAAGTCCAGGTTCCCAAGTCTAGCCTCATCTTCCATGGCTTTCTTCCCCTCCAGCTGCGACAGCGCCAGCCTTTTCCCTGAATGCTCCCTACCGTTTCACACCTCCGTATATTTGCCATGATTTTCTGGTGTTGGTCCGTCATTTAACGTGTTGTGTTCTCCGGGAAGCCTTACCTGAAACACTCCTCTATACTGTCAGGCTGGGTATGTGCCCCTTCTGGGTGCTTTAATAGCACCCTAAACATAATTCTCATTTCATACATTAAAGTTATCTGTTTATGTATCTGTCTCCTCACAGTAGACCTGAAAATACTGTATTTGTCCATTTTTGTATCCCCAGCATCTAGCACAATACTCAGTACACAAAGATACTAACTAAATATTTTCTGAACAGGGGTAAACCAGAGCTTCAGATTCCTAATACTTAATCATGACTTTCAGTTTTTCAAGTTCGAGTCAAAGTTCCTAAGTTCTTAGCTATTAAGTAATATCTTATTTGGGGGGAAAAAAAATCTGATAAAGGCTGACTGATATAAATGGAAGTTGAGGTGGATGATCACAGTTTGAATTTTCTCCTGACTGTGTATTGAGAATGAGAGATGCAGAACGTCCTAAATTAATATTTGAGCACCTGTTTTAGGCAAGAACATTATGCTGTGTATTTTTAAAAACATTATTTAGAAACGATGTAAACTAGTATCTCGCTAGAATGTAAGCTCATGAAGGCAGGGATTTTAAAGGTTTTGTTTACTACTGTGTCCCTAGTGCCACCAATAGTGACTTGTACATAATAGGTGCCCAGGAAGTATTTACTAAATTAATGAATTCAGAATCTATAGCTGACACATTCCTTCTTTAAGAAAAGTGTTTTACTTGATATGAGAATTGACCATGTATGATTGTGCCAACATTTACATTTTGGTGTGTTTTTAGGCACTTGCTGCTGGAGGAGTAGGGTCCATTGTTCGTGTCTTGACTGCAAGGAAAACCGTGTAGTCCAGCAGGAACTGGATCTCTGCCAGGGGAGTGGGAGTTGCTGGTACAAAGACCAAAACAACCAAATGCCACCGCTGCCCTGTGGGTAGCATCTGTTTCTCTCAGCTTTGCCTTCTTGCTTCCTTTTTCATATCTGCAAAGAAGAATATTACATATCAGTTTTCCTTTACTGAAAATTGGAATAACATTGAGGAAATTTTGTTTCAACGGAGTTTCATCCTCTCGAAACCATTTCAATGATGTGTACACCAGTCTGTATATAGTATAATTTACATTCAATTTGTGCAATTTTTAACCCCTAATGGCTGGTTTCTGTTTTGTATTATTTTTAACTAATACTGAGAGATTTGATCAGAATTTGAGGCCAGTTTCCTATCTCATTGCTAGCCATCAAGTGATCTTTATAAAAAAATATGGGAGACTGGCAGCTATTAACATTGCAAAACTACACCATACTTCCCTTATTTAAGCAAAACGTGTTTCCAAACGAAGTCCCAGCTTTGTTTCTGCTTGCCTCCAGATTATCTGTGCTGTGAGTTGAAGTATGCTCCTTCCTCTCAGCATCCAATAATCATGGCCTCTCAATTTCAGGGTTCAGAGCAAGAAGGCTTGCTCTGTAAAAATGTATCTGTAAAATATCTGCTTGTTTGGCATGGACGTCAAAGTTGTGTTCCAGTTATATGGTTCTGTTTGGGGAAACTACTCCAAATCAGAAAGGATGTGGAAACTATGATGTAATTCATACTCGGGGCAGCCTCTGAATGAAATACTATTTTCTTTAGAAATATAGTAGCTGCCTTAGACATTATGAGGTATACAACTAGTATTTAATACACTATTTAATATGCCCCATAAATGTCTTCAGTGTTCTTCAGGGTAATGTGGATCTCAAAAGATTTGGTTCAGATCCAAACAAATACACATTCTGTGTTTTAGCTCAGTGTTTTTTAAAAAAAAGAAAATGCCACACAGCAAAAAATTGTTTACTTTGTTGGACAGACCAAATCGGTTCTCAAATAATGACCGGTGCTTCTAAAAAGTTGTTATTATAAGTAGCTCCAAAACAAACCACCTGACCAAGAGGGAAATCAGCCTGTGTTTAGTATTTACATTGGACACCAGTTTCATAATCACTGACTTACGTGAAAACTGGTGCAGAAATTCTGTAAACTCTTTGCTGTTTTTGATACCTGCTTTTTGTTCTGTTTTGTTTTGTAAAAATGATGAACTTCGGAAATAAAATGTCAGTGTTGAATAATTTATTTTCTCTTCTTTTAATACTTATGAATGTACAGTTAATTAAGAGGAAAGATTTCCTGCTCCTACCACCAAGTCTTGTACTCTTAACAAGAACAAATTTGGTGGGTTTATTAAGACTCTTTTGTACAAATATAAGGTGACAGAGGAGAGAGTCATTAATGATGTCAGAGCACCACCGAAGCCTGTGGAGTGATTCCACAGCCGCCTGGATGCCAGTGGTAGGATCATTGCCCAAAGACCTGGACTAGAATGTGCAAGGTAGCCTAGCAGCTGCAGTCATTGATTCCCAACTTCTAAACTCCTCTTTCTTACACCTCAAATCTATTTCTTATACTGACCTACTCACAGCAACCTCTCTTTGCTTCCCAGCTGCACCTTACTAGATTCCTGCTTTTAAAGCTTTTAAAAAGCTTCCAGGCAATTCAGAGCAGTATGGGTGAAGAGAAACTAAGCAATAGGTATTATTTTATTTTTTAATATTTTTTTAGAGATAAGGTCTTGCTGTATCGCCCAGGCTAAAGTACAGTGGCTATTCACAGGCACAATCACGGCTCACTGCAGCCTTGAACTGGCCTTAAGCAATCCTCCTGCCTCAGCCTCCCGAGTAGCGAGGACTACAGGCGTGTGCCACTGTGCCCTAAGCAATAGGTATTAGAGGTAGTCAAGTAGATACAGCATAACCACTTACAAACTTTAAAATGAAAACAAAAGTAATACTGCAATGCTTTTTCATAAAATGCTTCTTCACATGGCTTTCATGACTGAAGTGTTGTGGAATATTCTGGAGATCCATAATCTATACTCACAGGAATGACTGCATTTAGAATCTGCCAGTCTATCGGCTTTACTCTGGGGAGATAAGAAAAATATTTAACAAGCAGTGCAGCATAGGGACTGAATCAGAATGGATACAAACTGGAAACAACTGGCTCAACTACCGCATCCTGGGCAAAGGTCAGCCCAGGGTTTAGCAACCGTGACATACCATCCTTGGTGGAAAGAGTGGGGATAGGATTAATGGTGGAAGAGAATATATAAATGCCAAGGCACATTTTGGCACAAAAGTGGTTCTTTACCTCCCACTCCCTTCTATTTTAATCTCAGTGGTTTTATTGTTTGGTTTGTTTTTACCATATTTGTTTTTGTTTCATTTTTGTCATTTTATAAAGGGGAAGGAATGGTAAGCATACCCTTTTTTGGTCATTAGGTAACAGTCATACTTGATAGCAAGTATGATGATGGCTTAAGGAAATCATTATCACACAGGTGAAATCAGTATGTAGATGGTACAAATTACCCAAGTATTTATTTTTTAAGCATTTACTGTGACCCCTAGGCTCACAAGATCATAACTCATGAAGACTGGGCCTTGCCCACCATTTGCTTTCATCTTAATTGGGAGGTAATATTTATACAGTTTAAAATAAATGTCATATAATCTCACATTTGACTATAAATGGAGTTAGTGCTGGGAGAACAGCAAGAGCAAGGTGGCTCAGAGTAGTCAAAGTGAGCCAGCTCAATCTGCACTGGGCCTCGCAGGGCAGAAGGGACAGAAGGTCCAATTGACACAGAGTAGAAAGAAGAGAAAATTGAAGTGGGTTTAATTGTCATCATTCTTACAGTTTCAGTGTTTTTAACGTAACATTTCTTTCTCAAGTCTAGTGCTTGGGGAATAAAGATGCTTCTAGGACAGATGAGGGTTGGAGTTTTCCCAAACCTTGGTACTTGGGCGACAGTGTGGAAAGGAAAGATCAACTCAGGACCTCTTCCCGGAGGCAAAAGCTGACGGATGCAGAAGTGAGCAAAGATTTGGAGAGGTGCTGCAGCTACAGGCACACTGGGCGGCACAGAGAGCAAGCTATTGTTCACCGTGAGTTTTACCTCATTTTCATGATTTGTAAATCTACTGAAAATACTGGGTAAAGAGCAAATCACAACAGAAAACCACATACTTTAAGAAATCCCAACCCTAAGTCACTTCTTTCTAGTGGAGTTATATATATTACAGATAGTGACTTCTAACCTCATTTTTAATAGATTCCCTGTTTTTGTAGATGTATTTTAACTAATAAACTACTATTTTAATTAATTTTGTCGTAATTACATTTAGTGAGAACCAGGGCTGCAGTCTCTCTTTAGCCAAGCTCAACAGATTATTGTTCACAACTAAAATTTATTTGCTAAATCAAATTCCTAACAATCACTTTGGCCCACCTTCCTCCATTGTAATTGCCGGGGGCTCTATTTTGGAGGTACTCCAAATTGGAAGACTGTCTCCATGCACACTTCTGGAATGCCTCATATTCTGATTTCAAAACCAGCTGAAAATTGGAGTTTTGCATGGGAAAGTCCTGGGAAATGGGAGATCCCTGAGGTAGAACTCTGGGCTTGAGAAAAACAGGATCAAAAATCACAGACCTGCATGGATGAAGAACCAAAGCACCATTCACCACGCACCAACCTGACTGCAAATATTTGTGTTCTTTGCGCCTGACACCAACGCACATGGGCTAGCTTTTGGTTGGGTTTGTGTGGGGTTGGATAAGTTCTAACTTGCTTTCGTCTACCTCCACCCTTTCCACTTGTTGTTTTCAGTTGCCATGTATCCTTTCCTTTCTCTAATTATTTTCCTCTCCTCTCTCTGCAGTCCATGCATCTGCTGCCTTCCTTCTCTCTTTGCTTTCTCTACTCTCCCTGCTTCATTTTGCCAGTCATTTCTACTAATTAAATATGTGACTTCTCAGGCAGGGTAGTTTGTTTGTTTGTTTTTTGAGACAGAGTCTTTCTCTGTTGACCGGGCTAGAGTGCCGTGGCGTCAGCCTAGCTCACAGCAACCTC